TTTATTAATTAAAACATTTCAACATAATTTCGAGCGTCGATTCTTTTTCTTAATTTCACCTGACCTACATCCACAGCGTAAATTATTCGTTACGAATCCAAGACAAGGGCTGAAACAAAAAAAATTAATGTTGAAGTGTCTTATCATGAAACTGCCATCGTATCCAAACAATCGCGAGTAATGGAGAGCGAATTGTCCGGGATTACAAAGCATACGTGGAACATCAGATCAATCATGAAAAGAAAAAAAAATATTAGAGCAATCCATTTAATTTTGTATCCGTCCCTTTCGACCGAAGCAGGAAAAAGATGGTTAAAAAAAAAAAACAAAAAAAACCGCAAATGGAATTACTGCCTCAACCCTCTTCCGTACAAACATCCCACCACCGCTCACTGCGACAACTACATGCACACGCGTATTTCGGAACTAATTACTACCCAGTACGTAAAACGTTAGGGCTGTGACGTTTAATCGCCACGCGCACGTCCTCTGATCACCAGTTGCTGAGCGAAAGGGGGGGGAGGGAAAAATAAAAGAGCACGTACGGAAGCGTGGAAAAAAAAGAGCAACGGGAAAAAAGTCTTTGTTTTCCGCTGACAATTACTTCCGTCTATATTTGGAGCCAGCTATTGCAGCAGCAAATGTATATGTAAGGGAGGAAGACGGGCTGCGAACGCGTCTCCCTGACGTTGCACGAAAAAAAAGGGGGTAAAAGCCAGGCCATATTCATACGCTTTTCACGTGTATGTGAAAAAATCTATACCTATACGTATAGTATCCTCTCGCGTTGAGGAAAAAAATGACACACCAACACCGCAGTCGCTCCATGGATCGATCCGCAACCCATTCAAAGCTACAGGCCGATACATACAGTAGAAACTCCCGTACACTCGCACTTTCAACACACGTTACTATGGAGTACCCCCTAGTTGAGTATCGTACATGTCGTAATATGTGTACACCCTTTTACTTGTCCACAGCATGCCAAGGAAACGCTGTGCGACCCTGAAAAGAGAAGCAACTACGACAAGTGGCGGCACAGCGGCGTCTCGGTCAGCTACAAACAGTGGCTCGGCATGAAGGATAGCGCAAAGGTATGGGCTTGGATCTTAATCGATTACATTATTTTAGTACACGTGAGATTTCCATAACATACGCATCATCGTATTTATGTTATTCGTTATTTCAATTCATACTCAACTCGAATACATATATGAGACTCCTCTACTGCACATTTCACGCATATTTACAATCGACGCGAAATGCATATAATTTTGGAGTAACCGTTACTTTGCACTATTTTTTTGTTTTTTTTTTTTTTAATTACGCAAACCATTGATTATACTCCCATGTATATGCATGTGTACCGTAATATATTTATATAGGAATGACTGATTCCTGGTACAATGTACTCATTCCTTATTTGGTGCTGATTAAGTTGTACCCATCCCTTGGCACACATATGTAGTGTTTTTTTCTTTATTTACAGCCCAAGAACCCCCTTGCATTCACCGTTCGTTCGCTTGTGAAAAATATTTTTACTAAAGTTACCTCCGCACCTCATTTACTCGCGATATCCGAGATTTCTCTCGACTCTCGGTCAAAAGTAAACGCGTACGAGTTAACAGTATTTCGTGCCCGACGTAAGAAACATATATAGAGAGGAAAGGTGAGGGTTGGAGATGAAAAAGTGAGAGAGAGAGAGGCGCGTGCGCTCCTGACCTAAATCTTCGACCCTTTCGAACGCGCGTACTGCACGTCACATATACATATGCCTGTCCACACACCCAACATCATACACATACACGGTAAAGCTGGCTCCTGCGGAACTGCAACTGCATAAATATAGAGTCCCCCGACGAAGGAGAGTCAAATAAGTACACATGTCCATTCGTATATGCGGGCGTATATGCAGCTGCTACCATATACCCCCTATACGTTTATATACCACGTACTTACTTGTATGGTTAAGCACATATATATATATATATATGCAGTGCAAGGCTATACGTGTGCTTTGTATTTTATATATATATATATACACGCACCATCTCGGGTACAATGGGAATAACGTTCGTGATGGGGGTGTGTGCAAGTGTGGTAGGTACGTAAAGCTCAATTGCCCCGAGGTGGTTGGGGAAAATTTCGTATGCATACGTGCAGTGCATCGAATTGCAAATTTCAGTGAGCACAACATACCCATTATACACCCTACGTGCAAGAGAGAGAGAGAGAGAGAGAGAGAGAGAGATTCTCTTTATGCGGGTTTGTGTGTCACCCGATATGTTGCTGCTGCTGCTGTTTTTGTAACTATTTTTTTCTCACGTGCGCGAGTAAACGAAGCGTGAACCCGAGATAGAAAGAGAGCCAGTGAAGCGCGAACGCGGGACGTTGCATTCGCCGGGGGTGCTTTTTTATTTCCCTTCCGGGGAAATGGGGGATTGATTTTGACGGCGATGAGCTTTTTTTTTTTAGGGAGAAGAGCTTGCGGTGACCTTCTCTTGGTTTGGTGCGCAGCTATGTGTCTATTAGGTATCGCAGTCAGTCTATATAGGAAATCTCGTTTCGTTACGCTTTGTGAGCTTTAATCGCATGTATCATACACCTACACTTTATGTTTCATTACACTATGAGACGCGCGACTTGATTTCATTGTTTGATTCGACCGTCTCTTCATCCGAAGAGTTTTCCATGTGTATTCATACGAGCCAAATAAAAAATGTATACACGCTCGTTTGTTTTACGTAACGAAGAAATCGAGAGCTTGCGCTGGAATATATTATTTCAATTTAATTCAATCAAATTGGATAGCCCCGTTCTCTCGAGCGAAAGAATAATTAACCAAGAACCCGGGGGGAGCTCGAGAAAAGCTCGCACCCGACTAATTGCGATGGGGAACAAAAAAAAAATAAATAAATGAAAAAAAAAAAAAAAAACGCCGATAGCTTTCCTTCGAAGCCCAAGCGATATTTTCTCTGCAATTTGTTGTCATAACAAGTCAAAGGAAAAAAAAAAAAAAAAAAAAATACACTCTGAAGAGACACGAGGTGCAGAGGCGCGCACCCGAGGGGTGTATAATCATACTCTCGAGGCAAAAGCTTACTCCCGCGCACAAGAACGCGGAAAATCACACTGGGGGGCCGCTTGTATCGATCAGCTCGAGGGAAATCCCCTCTTTCCCTGCCTTTCACTCGCAGAGTTCTATTAAGATGAGGCGAACCCGGCGCTGTTGTGTACACACACAGCCAGTACGCAGTGGCGAATCGAGTTGTAAATAGAATATAGCGTGTATATAACACCGATGTCGTTTGATCGAAGGAGGAAGTAGGTGGAAGTGATCCCATTCGCTATACAGTTCCGGGGTCGCGACTCTCGCCGTGGGGAAAAAGGCGCGCCGGCGTCCTATGCTTTTGTTGCATTTGACCGCAAGCTGTCGTTTTGAGCTCGCTCGATCGGGATCATCGCGGATTATGATTTGTTTGAGTGACGCTCGATCTTGTGCACATTTGTCGCACCGTAACCTCTAAGAGATCGATCACTACCGTTGAAAACTGTTTTTTTCCTTTTGCTTGAATCCCTCATCTGATGTTTCACTCTCGAAAATAGTACAAACCATCATCAGCTCACATTAACTCTTTTTCTTGATAAAAAAAAAAAAAAAAAAAAATTGCACCTCCCCGGATTCCGCTAATTTATTCGAGTGAAACGAAAACAGAGAAACGAGCACGCGCATATTTATATAAGAGGCCGGTGGTCCTCTTGACTGCTTGGTCTTGTGCGTACGGAAGCTGCGGAGATAAGAGGCAAGACAAGAGATATCAAAGGAACTCCATTCCACAATGAGAGCCAGTTCTCGATTCTCCTTGCTTTCTTCATCTTTGCTGAATAAATACGCCAGAGTCAATATCGGCTCTCTCCTTTGCCACAGTACACGAAATATTATATACGTATACGAACGCATGGAGTTAACACGCGTCATGTGCTTATCTGATGGCCGTGTGTTTGTCTCTCTCGGCCAAAACTATAGGCTTAGACGTAATAAATAATTGTACTGCTTGAAGGATTCGCAAAATAAGTAGGGGTTGATATAACGTATTTACAAGCTCCAATTTGGTGTTTTTCAAGTATACCATTGATGGATCTGCAAATCTGATACCGTGTAGTAAACGTCGTTTTGATTTATTTTGATACGAAAACTTTTTTACGGTAAGAAGCCAAGAAAATAATGATATCACCGCGAACGGATCGACAAGTAGGTATACTGACACTTGAACTAAATTTGAGTTTTCATGAGTTTTGTAAAATTTTCATTGTTGTATCACCCACGGGCATGAGAGCACAATTCGACCTACTGATAATATATTATGAATACAATATACGGTACGTGTGTATGTTGAACCCTTTTCTCTCTATCTTTTTTTTATCCCTCAGATGTAAAAATAAATGGACGTTGAAGATTTATATAGTACCGAAAAATGTTTATTCTTCGTTCATGTATAAGTATAGGTACATTGTACGAGGAATAAAATTACATTCCGCTTATTATTTTTATTAAACATCCGTAATCATAATAACAGTTGTACGTTTAGTATAACCACTGATTTCCACCTGATCATTCAAAACCATAAACCATATCTTAATCATCTAAAAAAAAAAAAAAAAAAAACGCTGAAACAGACGATGCACTGGAGTACACCGAAGACAAAGGACCGCATGCTGCCCGACAGCGAAGGCAGTGGCCCAACCACCGCCGCAGCATCGGCAGCAGGTTCAGCCCTGGGCCGTACCAAGATGCAAGCGGCCAACGCGAACCGGCGGGCCAGTGAGGGTGGCGCCAACATCCATTACGGGGCCAGGCGCGACCTCAACTGGGACAACCAGCCGCCCAGCGAGATAGTCAACAAGTTCCGCAACTACGAGGTTTAAACAGTCCACCCTCCCCCACCCACCCCCTTCTACTCTCCCTCGCACCCCACTCTCTGTCCAGATTCTCTTCACCTGATATCATTATTATTGTTATACCTCGCCTTCGAGAAGAGATGCCTTCCCACTTGTCACTTCTCCGCCTTCACTCGTCCCGGTGTGCACTATAATGTCATAATAATACCTTTTGCCCATCAGTCGAGGGACAGAGCCCGTACCCACGTGGACGGCTCTCGATGCTTACACGCCCTCGTTGTCCCTCTCGGATACGACGGCGCCCGATGGATGGCTGTATGGTCATCCTTGTGTACGCGTTCGGGATTTTATCGTTCCACAGTTTTAGATCGACTGCGACAATTTCGCATAGGAGCGGATGGAGGACGACGCGCTATTCGGCAAATGGTATATTATATACATAGGTTGCGCTCGAAAGTGGGACGCGCACACGTAGGTATAACGTATACGCTGCGACAAGCCGCGAAGTGATTTCGCTGAAGCAAGCCCGAGATTTTCGGAGGCTGCCGGTTTTCCTCCTCTGCTGTTTAACCGTGGTATTTGCAAAAAAAAAAAAAAAAAAAAAAAAGATATTGAAATCAAAATAAATATGTATAAAAAATTAATAAATGAATACACCTGAAATTGTGTACAAGCCGTCGACATAGTATATACATTATTATATAAGTCCGTAATTCGTCAGCGTGCAATTTGTCTTCCTCGAGCTGCTGGCGAATCGCGACGTTAATCGTGTCTGTTTGGCGATGTATTGCACGTGCAGGGGGAGAAAGGGCTTATCCGTATAATTTTTGCTTGGTCTGTAAATGTGATATTATTTCCCGTGATCTAGTGATCGTGTTTTTTTTTTTTTTTTTTTTTTTTCAATAAAGCACGCTTGATATTAAACGCTCAACTGATGTGACCGACGTTTTTCGCAAAGAAAAGTTTTTTGGGGCAAAAGTTCAGTCAAACATACCTAGTACATTCGATGCTTAAAAACAAATTAGGGCGTTGGTAGTTTCTCGAATACTTTGCCATGTAGTTTGATGAAAAAGAATAGGTTGCGTTAATTTGGCACAGGGAGTAAACAATCACGGAATATCACGCCCGTGTGACTATGTTATTTGAAAGACATGTGTATGGAAAACGGGAAAGTAAATAAATGTACTTCATGCTATAACACAGGCAAATTTATTTTTTTTAAGTAGCGGAAATTAAAAATCAAATATGATTTGTCCGTTTTATTCTAATTATATTGTGTCTTTAGCGATAGTAAAAAAAATTTTTTCGGTATGAATGAGAAACTAGTACATTTATTCAGTAATTGCAATAAAAAATAGATGTTATACTGATTGTGAATTGTAGAAGATATAGTACAATTATCATTTTCGACCAAACTTTTGCCTTGAGTGACTTTGTACTTAATATTTTTCTACTTTTATTTCATGGTATACTTTTTTTACTATATAATTATTTAAATGTATCAAAATTTCCTTTTGATTTAATTGTTGAAATTAATTCTTTATGGCAAATGAATACTGCAATAAAATAGGTATTTTACCATACGTACTTATATTATTAATAATTTATAATTTGAAGTTAATTAAGAGTTAAATCAACATTATTTAAAGCAGAGATCTAATTTTTAAAGTAAAATATTTATGTAATAAAAAATTTAACGTATAAAGAAAAATATTGTCGCTATACTAAGACCGTTTATTGTCGTTAAAAAAATAACTTATGATACAAACAGGTATCTTAGGATGTACTTTTACATTGTGAAGAAAAAAAAATGGAACTGTATTTTCCACTCGCTATTTATCTGACAACCTACGATCCTTCAAGATATTTAGTGTTGAAAACTGTCATGCTCAAAAAATATTGTGATGTCCTTTTGTGATTACAAAATACCGAATTTTTTTCGATTTGCGAAATGAATTTCCATATAAGACTTGAAACAAATGGGAACCAATCAAAATAAATTATTCAGTTTTAATATAAAATATATATTTGTGCTAATATTGAATAAAAATATTATTTTGGGTAAATATATTCTTTATACTTATAATCTTGCACGAAAACTGAATATTTAAAAAAAGGATGAGTGTCAATTATCCATATCAAAAGAGGAAATCAAAAAATCAATACATTAAAGTTGGTTAATTTTGAAAGTGGATTGATAAATAGTTTTCATTATTTTTCAAATGCAGACGTATTATGTAACAGTTCGACATATAAATGCCTATTGTATTTTCTTGTGAAAATAATATAACTAATAAATTATATTTTATCGAAACCTCAGAGATAAAAGTATCAATGAAGAAATAAATATGTTAGTCTAACAAAAACGCAGATATTTTGATGTAGAAGATACAATGTTTAGCAAAAAAAGTAAACCTTATTCACATATGCACGCATAGTACCATATACTAGTGTACACACTTTGTTATCGTCGGTACATGAAAATTCATTAAAAAATATAAACAAAATGTCGGCCTCGTTCTCGTCCGCTGGGCGTTGCGAGCTCGGGGTCCTTATGTTCGTTCGACGAATGAATGAGTCTACATGTATAAATATAACACATAAAAAATTATGTGTTACTGCGTTAATAAAGATCCCGATATATATAAACACAAAAGTAAAATAAATATATATATTTAACAAAAAAACGAAAAAAATATATGAGTATATATTTTAAAAAGTCGTGCGAATTCTGGATGAAAAAAAATTATTACTATTAAATAATATTGAAAAAGAAAAAAAAATATTAACGTAAGCATGTGTAAATGTATGTTATAGAAAAGGCATGTTCACGTATAATTGTGTAACTAAAAATGCAGGGGAGAAAAATAACAAAGGAAATTAAAAAAAAAAAAAAAAGTAAGCGTACGCTCCTTCATTGGCACTATTTAAAGCGGCGCTACGCGTGTTTTATGGAAAACACACACATACAATGATGTGTATTGATTTTAATGTGTTGAAATAAAAACTTGGCGATTACATGAATTTTTGTAATCATTCTTTGCTTCTTCCTTTATATTTCCATTATAAACTATAATAATTTTAAATGATAATTTTGTGTCCTTCAACGCAGATTAACACACTAATAAGGTAAGTCCTGAATCTATCAGGTAATCTGCTACTCGAGTCACTACGATGGAGAGTCAACATAATGCTTTTGTCACCCTCTTCTTTTTTTAAATGTAAATGGTATGTTTATATGTTCACATTTTATTCCTATAAACATACAAGCCTTGATTTTCCAGTTGAAAACAAAAAAAAAAGTACAAAGAAATATTGAAGATAGAAAAATGTCCTGCCAACCTTTTGTTCGCAACTGCGTAATAAATACGCATGATAAAATGTTCCTTTTTTTTCTCTATGGCCGCATTTGTAGTATGCACTCTTTATTTTTTTTAATGTTTTTTTTTTGTTTTTATTTTTTTATTCTTTTTTCATAAAGCGAGAATACAAATCTTATGGAAAATATATTAAACATCATTATCTTAGTAAACTTAGTTTGTAAGTACTTTAAGCGTAAAAATTAAATTCAAAATCCATAAACGTAAGTACACTACCATCCACTCAGCTCTGACTAGCACAGTTTCCCAAAATAGCTATTGAAGCAAAGATTATACAGAAATTTGGTAAAAAAAAAAAAAAAAATAGTAAAAAAAAAAATTAAAAAATATGAGAAGAAAAGCTCTCTTGCAGTACTAATCTAAATTCAATCTCATACTGAATGGAGATCGAGTGCAAAACTGTGATTTACTCACGCGCATCATTTTCATCATTATGTTCATCACATACAAAGGAAGTAAATCGCATGTTTTGAGAGTGGGCTTTCATATTCATCACAACCTTTTACCTACAACGCTATTCTGCGCAACTCAATACGGTCATGACTTTCCGATAAAGTTGTCTATAGCTGGATTGTACTGGGCTATTATTAAAAGTTCGTTTATTTGGGTAATAATGAACCGTCTACAATTCTTATGGACGAAACTGCGAGCGATTTATTGTTCAATTGTGAATACGCGTACATATTGGTGTTTACGTGAAAATTCGATACATCGATATTCAAAAAGTTTAAAGATAAGGGGAACTGACTGATGTCACCGACATGTAATATATACATACAAGAGAAGTGAGGAACAAGTGACCCGTGAGCCTTTACCGTGATACACTGAATTTGGGACAAACCCAATTTCTTTGTGCTTCGCAGTTTTGCCTTTTTGTTGGAAGTACGTTACGTGTATGTATGCAGTAATTGTAAAAAATACATGTACAGAGAAACGAGAGCTTTTTTCTGATTTTATCGATTTTTTGCAGTTAATTTTGCACGTTTATCGAATTTCACCCTTGAAACGTGAAATTGCGAATGCACAAGTAATTAGCTAGAGATAAAAAATAACTGAGCTACAAAAAATTTTATTAAACCCTTGTTGCATTTATATTTTTTAATTCGATTATAAATTTATTTTAATTATCATTTACGCTAAACTGATTATCTCACCAAATCTGTTTACATTATTGAAAAATCGCGCAAGATATTTAGCATAAAACATTGTAAAACCCTTTATTTAGTATTTAGCATATTATGTGCCACTTTTCATTCCATGGACTCTCTGAAACTTCATTGGACTATGAAACAGTAAAGGGGTAGGTACAGGGTAAAAACTTTTTAATTGGAAGTTCCATTAACTCTATCCCTGAGGTAAAAAAAAGTTCATCAGTTCATTCAATAAAAGAGTAACTTAATAGCACAAGAAAAAAGCATTCCAGTAGCATCAACTTTAGTACATTCTACTAGTTCCAATACATTATGTTGCCTGTATAAAGGCAAAGAAAAAGCTAGGCTTGCACTAGTTTTTTTTTTTTTTCCGAGCGTGTTTTCCGGATGATTACGTTTCAGAATTTCTATTCATGATCAAGCACACTCGGTGCTGAGTTATTTTCTGAAATTATTTATTTTTTTATTTTCACTAATTTTTTTTTTAAATAAAAAGTAGAAACATTTTTCCTTTAATGTTAGTAAGTTAAAATGAAATATTCTTTTAAAAACTTGCTGGTTATGAAAACTTGTAATTGAGTTTAATATTTTTTGAATTATTAATAGCTGTTAATGTAGTTTTTATTATTTTTATGAGGAAATTTTTTCAGTAGTCCTTTACACATAATATCTGCATACAGTCTCGGCTGTTAATTGAGTGAATTTATATTTTTTTAACTGCTATTAGAGTAACAATTCAATTTCCCTTTCAGCATTGGTTATAATTTTTTATTCATTATAATATGATGATTAAACTAGTTTTACTCGCTTACTAGAGTAAAATTCTCATGTTTATTTAATATCACTACATTAACTATAGCACAAATACCCTAAGAACCTCCTTAACAATTGAAATCTTGTTTTTATACTTGATGTATTTTTACATTGCAAATTACAAGTAAATATACATTTTGTACATTTGGGACCACTAGTTTTTGTTTCTTGATCAATAAAACGATTACCAATATCGTTAGCAACGTTACTCTTTGACTTTGATTGAAGACAGTTGAGAAAAAACACAAGAGAAAATCTGAAGCACCGTTTTTGAAGTAAAATAAAAAAAAAAAATCAATGACGATGAAGTATTTCACATTATTTTACGCCGTCCTCGATAGAAATTTTTGTTTTTTGTCAGATTTCTAGGATAAAAGGGGGAAAGGTCAAAGGTGTTACATACAGATATATCGGTAGTTATAGTTGGCGTAAATGAAAATGAAAATTGTAAAGAGGAAGGCCTTAAAGGGATCGAGGTGAAACGAGTCTGGAAAAAAAGTAAATAAAAAAAAGGGGTGAGGGTGAGAAGCGAAAGGGAGCTAGAGGTCGAGGGAAATTATGCCTGATTATCAACTTTCCTCTCTTGCATGTATAATATTGAAACGATGCAAGGCTTTTTTAATTTTTCACAGGATATTACGGACTTAATTTTTTTATCGATGTAATACTTTACAACTTCAATTAACAAAGTTTCAACTTCGAGCGGTTTTCGTGCGTGAGTATAGGAATATAAATGCGCAATGCGTAAATATTTTGTTTGAGTTATACACTTGTGTTGAAAAATTTATCTTAGCACAGGGACTTAGAATTATAACACACGTTAAAGTACAAAAAAAAACTATTTCTTAATTTTTTATTTTTTTTAATGCCTTTTTTGTTGAAAATATCGCGTCTTGTAATTGTACAGTTTTTTTACGATTCAAACATTGATTATTAAAAAGTAAAAATTTTCAAATACGAGCACACGTTATGGGAGCTAAGTTTTTTTTTATCAGTGAAGTCTATAATGATAATTATTAATATTATTTTTTTAATACTGGCTTACCACGTAATTAAATAATACATTTTGAAATAATATTTACGAGAAATAATTTAAGAGAAAGGTACAAGCAACTTCTACCTTATCAAAGTTAATGGCAGCTTATCTACCGTGCGGGATGGTAAGGAAGAAAGTAAAACCACATACCATTTATGGGTTACATTTTGAAAATCTTTATTATTTCAACCGATTATAATTATGTAAAAACTTTTCTTATTTGTAATAAAAAAATTAAAAAATATGAGAAGAAAAGCTCTCTTGCAGTACTAATCTAAATTCAATCTCATACTGAATGGAGATCGAGTGCAAAACTGTGATTTACTCACGCGCATCATTTTCATCATTATGTTCATCACATACAAAGGAAGTAAATCGCATGTTTTGAGAGTGGGCTTTCATATTCATCACAACCTTTTACCTACAACGCTATTCTGCGCAACTCAATACGGTCATGACTTTCCGATAAAGTTGTCTATAGCTGGATTGTACTGGGCTATTATTAAAAGTTCGTTTATTTGGGTAATAATGAACCGTCTACAATTCTTATGGACGAAACTGCGAGCGATTTATTGTTCAATTGTGAATACGCGTACATATTGGTGTTTACGTGAAAATTCGATACATCGATATTCAAAAAGTTTAAAGATAAGGGGAACTGACTGATGTCACCGACATGTAATATATACATACAAGAGAAGTGAGGAACAAGTGACCCGTGAGCCTTTACCGTGATACACTGAATTTGGGACAAACCCAATTTCTTTGTGCTTCGCAGTTTTGCCTTTTTGTTGGAAGTACGTTACGTGTATGTATGCAGTAATTGTAAAAAATACATGTACAGAGAAACGAGAGCTTTTTTCTGATTTTATCGATTTTTTGCAGTTAATTTTGCACGTTTATCGAATTTCACCCTTGAAACGTGAAATTGCGAATGCACAAGTAATTAGCTAGAGATAAAAAATAACTGAGCTACAAAAAATTTTATTAAACCCTTGTTGCATTTATATTTTTTAATTCGATTATAAATTTATTTTAATTATCATTTACGCTAAACTGATTATCTCACCAAATCTGTTTACATTATTGAAAAATCGCGCAAGATATTTAGCATAAAACATTGTAAAACCCTTTATTTAGTATTTAGCATATTATGTGCCACTTTTCATTCCATGGACTCTCTGAAACTTCATTGGACTATGAAACAGTAAAGGGGTAGGTACAGGGTAAAAACTTTTTAATTGGAAGTTCCATTAACTCTATCCCTGAGGTAAAAAAAAGTTCATCAGTTCATTCAATAAAAGAGTAACTTAATAGCACAAGAAAAAAGCATTCCAGTAGCATCAACTTTAGTACATTCTACTAGTTCCAATACATTATGTTGCCTGTATAAAGGCAAAGAAAAAGCTAGGCTTGCACTAGTTTTTTTTTTTTTTCCGAGCGTGTTTTCCGGATGATTACGTTTCAGAATTTCTATTCATGATCAAGCACACTCGGTGCTGAGTTATTTTCTGAAATTATTTATTTTNTGTATAAGCTATATTTTGAATTTTCGATGGCCTAGTACTTTTAAAATTAATTTTTTTTTAATCAATCACAACAAAAAATGAGTAATTACATTATTTTTTTCACTCATAAAATTAAAATTGTAATGAATAACTCAATATTTATCAATCACTAGTCAATAATAGAGCTATGCAATTTACAATTTATGCGGGACCTTTAAAGAGAGCATTACCATCGCTTGGTCAAAATTGAACGAAAATCAGAGCAAACGTTTCTCTAAAAACTAACGATTTTACAAAAAGTGGCAGTTTCCCAGAAGAGTCAAACTCGAGCCGCTGTAGGTACCCCTCTGTCAAAAAACTATACAATTATCTAATCCTTTGGCTTAACCGACGAGCTCGTCTGTAACTTCGATCAACAATCGACGCTCCGGTGCCCCCGTCGAAACATAATACATCATCGGATCCGGACATTGCTCCTCCACGTAGGCCGATCTCGGAGTCATCCGAATTTTCCTTAGTACCGTCCGTCATCCACATCGGCGGGTTGATTTTCCAACGTGCACGGTCTGTGAAACTCCTGGCCCCTCTCGTGCAGCCATTTGTTTGCAACTGTACGAAAAGCCGAAATTTCCCCCATTAATACACCATCCAACAGCAGTCACTGCGAAATCTACAGGGCTATATAACATATATGGGATGTGGCAACGTTACCCCATTTGGTCCCAGTTAAAACGGGACACGCCGCGTGCCGCGTCCTGTAGTCCCCTTCCCCGTTCGGCTTGAGGTTGTACCAGAAGGCGGCGCTGCCCTTTCTCGGCCACAGGGATATGTTGATTTTCGTGAAAACGGTACCACCTCCCTGCTCCACGTCGCTCATCTATGCCAAGACAATCATACGCTACACGATGCTCATTTTGCTAAAAAAAAAAAAAAAAAAAAAAGAAAAAAAAAGCCGAAACTCACGTAAAACAACACGGTGGCGATCCGGTTTCCGGTGCCAAGGCTCTTGAACGCGTTCTTTTCTTCCCTCTGAAAATAAAAAAGCATAAAAAACCCTCGTGGTGAGAAATAAAACGTAAGAATGACCCATGAAAAAACGCGGGCCACGAGCTACCAAGCAACTGTGACCAATCAGTATCGGCTGTAAGTATATACTTACCCTGGCGAAATCAAAGTGGGGCTCGTAGTGTCCACCGATGCCGTAATTAACGACCTGCAACTCCTCGGCCGTGTCTATGGTCATGCTCGTCATGTCCTCGACTCGCTGGCTGACGGCGCGCACGTGCTTGTGCTCGTGCTCCTGCAGCCAGGCGCTCTTGCTTATCCGGTAGTTGGCGATCTCCAGCTCGCCCGTCTTGTAATTTTGGACCGTGGCTCGCTTGAACTTTAAAACATCGACACGGAAAAGGTGAAAGTGAAACCATCATAATGAACATGCACAACTCGTTGATTAAAATGGAATCGATGTGTATATATATGGAGTATATATACCCACCCTTGGCTGAGCCATCCTCTTGATGGTCTCGATCTCCTCGTCGGAGATGACGTCGTGGTAGATGACGATCCTCGGGTCGAGGTACACCTCCTCCTCCTTGAGCCTCGCTAGCTTGAGGAAGGCTATGCCCCGATCGACGTAGCGGCACTTAAGCTCCTTTTGCTCGTCGGCCGAGAGCGACAGCTCGCCCCTGCACAGCATCTCGTAGCGCTCGCGCTCGGTCATCTCGCTCACGCTTTTCATCTTCTTCTCCTGGACGGAATAGTGCTGCGGGGGGATGTGAAAAAAAGTTGTTTTTTTTTTCCTCTTTGCACTTTATGGGTAAGAAAAGGTTGTTTACAGGACTGGGCGTGTCGTCGGTGCCGTCCTCGCCGCGCTTCTTCCTGGACTCGTTGGTCTTTTTCTGGATCTCCTCTTGGTAGTAGACTCGGTTGCCGAGGGCGCGCTGGTGCGTCGGGACGAGGTCCAGAAGCTCGTTCGTCATGCTCAGTGCCCTCACCACGTTACCTGCTCAAAGGAGGGACGTGTCACGATTCAGTGTCTTACAATTATTTTGGGAATTGTTTTTTTCCTTTTTTTTTAATTTATGAGCAGCTCGATCAATTTGCGAGCCGATACTCATTGAATAATCAACATCTCCGATAGACCTTTGGGATATAGATGAAATGCGAAAACTCGATCGGCTCGTGGTTAATTGCAATGCGAACAAGAGCAGAGATTTATTCTTGCCTGGAAAAGCGACGGCGTTGAATCACTCGTAGCCACCGCGGTAAGCTCGAGCGTTAACTTTTAATAGAAACGAATCGCTTGGAATTCCTGGGCGCTGGTGAAAAAAAAGAGCTTCCTGAAAATTATGAGCGCGGACGTGCGTGTCCGGTCCAATTGAAATAAAATTATTATTAAAAACTCATTTTTCACGCGTTACCCCCGTAAATCGCGCTTTAAAGCCCCGACGCTTCCGAGCACGTATTTTTTTTTCTTGTCACCCGGCGCTGGGTGAAAAAATTAATTCAGGGGACGATCGAAGCGAAAACGTGTCGAGCGTTTTTCGCGTGCATTTTTTTTTTTTTTTTTTATCATATACGTTCAGCCGCAAAGTGAGTTGGGAACAAAAGGAACAGGACGACACTGCCGAAGCGAGGGCGCGAAAGGGTAGCTCTTTTGCGTGCTCGTACGTATATAATCAAGGTGATGGTGCGAGGGGATTGAATTGACACCCGAGTAATTCGTTCATTGCACGCACATGGCAAATGTGTACACACTCGAAAAAAAGGTGCGTTGCGTGATTTTCGTGAAATTCGAGCGGTGGAGAGTTGACACGTGTGTTATGACAGTAATGGCGGTTGATTCACCGACCGAATAATCAAACTGTTAATTACTGTCCCACGCATTTATATTGAATGTTGACGTTGACCAAATTTGCATCAATATTAGATCAATTTAATTAATTCTGTATTAATTACATCCCATCTACAGTATATCATACGCAGTAAAGTAAATATAGTACCTGCAACAACGACTGGCTGGGCAGATGTAGAAAAAATAAAATTTTCATCGTTTAATCAAAAGTTGTAACATTTATATTCAATTTTCTTTAAAAACAGCTTGTCTACTTAGTTCATTTATTATATTGATTAAAGTTACCTCATTAAATTTGTCCGAGAAATCGTAAAAATGATAAATACGTTTAATCCAGACATAAATCCTTTTGTTCGCGCATCAAGTGCTCAATTTCAATGACAAGTTGAGCGCGTAAAAAGCTACCGCAAAGGTCATCATTACATATCATTAAATTGCGTCCTTTTTTTCTTTTATTTACGTTCTCGACAAAAGCCAAGTATCTAATTACAACGAGGCAAAGGAGAAAAAAAAAAAAGGTCCCAGCAACCGCAATCGCCAAGCAACAGCAGTGAGACGGCAAGGGTCTTCTTCTTTTCCGCTAAATAATTCAGCCGGCTCAATTCGTAATGCAGTTTCCGTCCTCCGCGTCGTCTGGCAGGTCCCCATCCTCTGTTTGTCCGGAAAGTAGTAAGTCCGGCCCTTCTTTTGTCCGCTCTCAAGTGCGCGGATGCTGCGGGGACACCGGGGATGAATTTTTCAAGCCAAGAGCCGAGTGTTTTTCGCGAGTCACTTTGTAACCTGCGAGCTATATACTTAGCTTCTAAAACCTATTTTAGCTCCTTTACGCGAGATTTTAGTAACAATATTGCCCTCATCTGTATAGCACCAGGGAAAATATGTCCTTTTGGACCATTATATCATGTACCTCCGTCCCTCTATTTCTACATTCAAAGTTATTCATAAGCCCTTTGTGCTCTTTGTTCGAGCGAGCCACGAAAGACGACAACGATGATGATGATGGTCCTTTTCCGAATAAAGCTTTCTTCCCTTACACATATATATATATATATATATATATACACACACACACAATACGGGGTACGAATTTCTCGAGCACCTCTTTCGAAGAGAGGAAAACTCGTTTTGCGTAAGCCTCGCTGTTATATCCCTTGCCACTTGTTAATTTTGGGTCTAAAGCGTGTGTACCTATATATCCCTTTAAATCTGCAGACACAGCCAGCACGAGGTTGCCTTTTTTTATACACAAAAAAAGTTTTGTATTTTCATATTTTGGTTACCTTGCATGTACGTGGAGAAGGCGAGGTACTCGAGTATGTCGGGCTTCGAGATGGTGGTCCGATTGCTCTGCTCCTCCTCGAGCCGATCCATGGCCTCTTGCATCCAGAGGACCGTGTGATAGTAGTCCCCGTTGTTGTACGACTGTCTGCCCAGCTCGAAACAATCGCCGGCTGCGTGCGAGGAACAGAAAACGAAACGATGTATTGTTATCGTATGCCATCTTTGGTATCGAAAGCGAATTTCGTTCATTTGCCCATTCGTCTCCCACCCCCCGGGTCTCGGGCATTTATTCATTAGTTTTTAAAGTTATACACCACGACGTATACCGTACACCCACTTCAGCAACAGCAATATGATACACAACGCACTTGGGGTAACTTTCCACTTTCCAAAGAGCATAAGTGCCCCGCGCGTTGCACGTAAGAGCTCTTTTCTCGGAGCAAAAAAAAAAAAAAAAAAAAAAGGAAGAAGAGCTCGGGAGCTTTGTCGCTGTACTTGCGGAGATATTACGCGTCTTAAGTTCGTTTCGGCCCGGCTGTGTTTCGTTCGGCGCTTCTGGCGGGGCTCTTGAAAGCTCGACAATGGATTATACACATCTATGTACATCTCTAGGATGCCACGGGCTCCTTAGCGTCCGACTCGAGCGCTTGTTTCGACTTTGTTTTTCGGACATTGTCGTGTAATCCTTGTATTTAAAGTTATACACAGTTTTGTTTTTTTTTGTATACCAGTGAAAAAAAACAACAAATAATCACACATTGCATATAGTGCGGTTACACACGGGTAAATAGTAAAAAGTCCTTTCGAGGAGACCGCAAAAAATGTCGCAGCAACTTCTGGGGATGGGGGCGAAAGTTTAATTTCGATTACACACACGTATGTACTTATTTGGTGCTTCCGCGTGAAAAATTCGCTTTCCCTAATTCGCGCGTAATTTCGCTTCGCCCCCCTGATGGGAGGGTTTTTAATCCACATCACTTTGGGTTCTCGAATCTCCGCGAGGTTTTTTATCAACGATTACGCGCGCGGAAGAGGGGAACACGACGAAATTAACTCGACTAATTTCACGCGCGGAAATGGCGCCGCGCCGACAACAAAGCGCGAAAATAAAATTCAGGGTGTGAGGGGGTGCAACGAACGCCACCAGAGAGCAACGAAAGTTGGGAGAAATTAATGCTCCTCGGCGTAATTTGACAAGTATTGCGACTGGAGCACCGGGAGGTAGGGAGGCGGGGGTTCTCATTATCGGGATGGAAGAATTTTCCAATATCGCTTTGGAAACTTTGGGATTTAATTACTGACAATTGTTGCGATTTTTTATTCTTCCTGCACCTCTTCGTTTTCGACATATACAATGAAAGTTGAATCCGATGAATGCAGAAGTGATTGGGTGGAACATTCGCTTGAAGTATATTCGACATCGCTCCCTCAGAATTATGATTAATGGGTCTACCGATGAGAAGAAATATCGCGAACAAGTTGTTCGAACAGGTGGAATGAAAAAATAAATTACGAGCCGAGATCAATTGTACGTCGGCTACTACGAAACGTCAAGAGTAAAGACACGAATAAATGAACAAACAAGTATCAATTCAATCAAAAACAAATCATTGATATGTTGTTTCATCTATGCACCATCAGTTGTACAAAAAAATGTCGATGAGCATACTATAGCATCATCGCAATCCCCTCCGGCTGTGAAGGCTCATAGCTTCCCCCAACAAGCGCATACAAACTTACCCGACAGGCCCGTGCTGTATTGCACCCCGTTGAGCACGCCCCGTGCCACCTGAGCCGTCTCGAGCTTGTAGGTATCCTGCAGCCTCATGAGGGCGACCGCGGCACCGTTGAGGTCCTCCTCAGTGGGGAATTTCAAGTCGCTTCGCGAACTCGTGATGTTCGCCACGAACGCCTTGCCGACGTCCTCGGTTATCAGCTCCTCGACCCGGCGCCAGTCCGTCGTCAGGCGCTTGACCAGCAGGTAGGCATTTATCGGGTTCGAGAGGTACTGCTGGATGTTGCGGGCCGCCTCCTCGTGCTCGCGCGCGTAGTCCTCGACGTTTCTGCAATTCATACAATTTTTTTTTTTTCCTCTTCAGAGTTGATTTTTATTGAAAAAAAAAAAAATAAAAACAAAAAAAACAAACAAAAAGGAATGGGTTGAAAGTACCGAGATTTGGAAATCGATAATCGAGGCCATGCCTTTTCCGTGACAATGTTACAAAAAATAAACGCAGCCCTCTTCCAAAGAAATGGAATCGATTTTGCTAGAAATAGCCGCACTGTGGCGCCAAATTTGTTGACGCTCTGTCTCTCTCTCTCTTTTGACACCCCCACTGTTACCAATAGTTTGACTTTCGTCAGTACGTATACATATAGTACAGTGGTAGCGATGATCATTCACCTTAATCTCGCGTATACACGTATAATTATACAATTGTGTCGTTAAATGATTGCAGTTCGTTGAATTGCGTGCACATACTCGACAAGGGCCATTGTGAAGAGACCGAGGGGTCAACCGCTATAAATTAAATTATGAATATTAGGGGCGAATATCAAGGCAGCAGCACCAAGCAACAACCCCTATTTCTAAATCTATGGACAATACATATAATATATTCGCGAAAAGGGCCCAATTTAATTTTGGATTATTAAAAGATCAGCGAAAAATAGTAAACGGCGCATGGTTTGAGCAACAGTTGTGAGGAGGTATTATATATTAATTTATAACCTTGGACAGTTAGCATCAGGATACACTTAATCAGCTCCAAACACAACATGAATATGATTCCACTCAGTTTTTTTTTCTTTTCTTTTTTTTAAGCCAAATCATTGCTCGTCAGTTATCTCTAATAATTCCAAGAGCACCGAATTGGTTGACTCTCGAGAGTATATAGTACATAATGTATTGGAAGGGGATTTATGTACACACTGGGTCTCGTTGATCGTGATCAAACTTGGAATCATCGACAAGTGCCCAATAATGATAATGACGCTGATGATGGTGTTGACTCGATCCCTCGGCAATATATAGTAATTCACACTATTTTTGTTCGCATTGGAAATTTCCAGTGTCATTATGACCATATTGGATGACGTTCACAACCGTAGGTGCAAAAGGGCTACACTACACCCGCACCCAACGACTGTCGCGGTGCGTCATGCGTGCAAAATCAGGACTGTCCTTCCAATTGTCTGGACCACGTTGAAATTGGCACCCGCTTCTGTGCACGTACATTTGTATTCGCGTGCGCACATGTTAAATATGCGTTTCGAGCAGCGTACGACGGATGAGAAGTCCTGACACGGCGACCTTCTATTATTTTAATTGACGCGACGACTTTCGAGATAAGTTTCGGGGCCGGCGCGGAGAAATGGGCGTTCGCGAGGGGACGCATTTAGCTTCGGGAATTCCGATCGAGCAGAGAGAGAGAGAGAGAGAGACTAAGCGCACGTTGAGCGGAAGGGTTCGGAGAGGACGAAAAACGGGGGTTACGGTGGACAAAAAGACTCGGCCGCGGGACAACGTGAGGAGAAACGGAGATTCGCACTTGACGAAGCGGTGCGACGGTTTTGCTCGTTACACTTGTCCTCCTCCTGCTCCTCCTCCTCCTTTGTTTGAGGAGCGTAACATAAATATTGAAATTATCTGTCTGGAAGATACTCTTATCTGGCTGTAGTCTGCCCGAGGCTGGCGTGCGTTGGAAGGGAAAAAAAAAATTAAAGTGACTTTTTACACCGCTTGCGTCGATCGGTTATATTAATAGCGTTTTCATTTGCGTAAAGTCGAATCATCGATTGGATAGTTGACGAAAAGTTTTTTAAAATATTTATAATATTATATAATTAAGTCATCAGAATGATCGTCTTTTGCAATTTATGTCTGCGCTGTTGTATGCACAGTTATTGCATCAGTTCCGAAATCTCAAGCAAGAGAGGCGTATTTATTTTGTCTGCCACACTTTTGCGTCGAAATAAGTTTAAATACCAACAACAAAAAATGTATAAATTTAAATA